CATACTCAGTTCTCCAATATTCATGGAAAACAAACATACAGGATGAGTAAATATGATTAAATGGAAATTCACTTTGGAAAACCAATATCCATAGACAGCTATTCCACTCTTTGCTCTAATCTGGGGCACTGATCAAGCAGGATAACAAAATACATGCTTAACGTTGAATATATGTGTAATCCCAGTGATTTCAATTGGGCTGCTCATGTGCTTGAGCACACGCTTAAGTAGTTTGTTGGACTGAGGCCTGAGTTTCCATCCACCACCATTCAGTTGGCTCTATAAACCGGTATTTTCAAAAACAAAAACTAACTAATAATAATAATAATAATAAAAGAAGAAGAAGGAAATATTAGATACAAAATATTTGAAATTACATAATATATTTAGAAAGTAGATGCACTGCAAGTTCTTAATTCTTTGTGCAAAAGGGATGATTTGCCCTTGTTCAGTTCATGCATAATAAATGCATCCAGGAAGCGACAAAGAATACAGAGGGGAAAAGACAAAATCATCATTTCTTGTTTTAACAGAATGTGAAAATGCCACATTATGTTCTGGAGACCAGTCAGTATGCCAATATTTCAGATGAAGTTTGAGTCATACTCAAGAGAAAGTTTCCCGACATTAATAATAAATAATAATAATAATAATAAATAACTGTTAAAAGATTTTGGAGAACATAATATTTTATCGTCTTTATAACCTGAGCTGTATTTCCAAACACCTGACCATCTGATAAAACAGCTGAGAGAGCTTCATGAATGCTAGAGCGTTTATTTTTCCATTCGCCAGTCTGCAAAAAATGCAAAAGCACTAGTTTTCCCACTTAAAATTTTGCCATCCTAGCTGAAGAGGTAAACAAACTTTTCTCAACACACAGAGGTATTAATTAAAATATACATTAAATTAAATTAAAACAAAACAAAAAAAGTTTCCTGAAAACGGATGAATAAGCTCATTCATTCATTCAGATAATTGACAGAGAGATTAGAACACACCACTATTGTTTTAGACCGTGATTTTGGCTTTTTTAACCTCAGAATGAAATAATTCTCTCCCTCTGTGATAATTATTTTTGTCAGTTTCCCTGTTTGCAAGTAAAACTGAGAAACTGTTAATTGAAATACAGAATGAGTCATTGCTTCAACCCATTTTTGCCAACATTCTGATTTGTGTTAATCCAAGCCTAATTATTACATTTCCTTTTAAATCAAGAAGCATAACAGTATATATTTTTAAGTTTGATTCGAAACAAAGATTGCACTGATTTAAATAAATGTCAGATTAACAACACAGTTTGGTTAAAATTGGGTTTATAATAGTCTTTAATGAATCGTGGTGTTTGGTGACTAAAGACTAATATTAAAAATAGCTAGAATGAAAGCATACTTTTTCCCCGTGAAAATAAAAAGCCTTTAAAGACCTTACAACTAGTATTAGCAACCATGGTATATGGGCCATCACTAATGTTCATCACTAAAGTCAGCATTTTATCAACCATCCAAGGGAATTCATTTGGAAAGCTAATTGAATGTCATTGGCAAGGGCACACTTTGCAAGAGGTGGCCAATCATGCATTCCTTTGGTATTTGCTGTATAAACATGAATCACAGTGAACCCATTTACTCTTGTGAATGTACTCCATTATTCCATATGAATTCCATTGTAAATTACTACTAAAGGAGAAAACAAACTGTAGATAGGGTTCATAAAATGTGTGAAAACAGCAGGATGCTCTATGATACCAGTATGGTGATGAAAGGCTCTGTCTCTCTGTTTTTTTTTTTTTTTCCATTTAGAATTATTTTGTTGCATTTCATGTGTATCATAGGGATGTGCACACATGTTCAGTATGGCAAGGACATGTGCAGTGTGCATTCAAGTTCAGGAATGAGAAAGACTAGAAAATGAAAATGTACATACACCATCCACTCACCCAGAGTGAGAAGCCAATATAAAAGAAGAAGCCATTTGTACACTAACAAGTTTCACTAGAGAGCATCCCTATAACAAACACAAGGATCTCTCTTTATCTGCCTATGATTAAGGTGATCCTGTTTTCAAAATGAAAAAAAACTGGAAGTCTTTTGTGGCAAAGTGTTTTTAGGGTCGTGAATTGTTCACACAGAACACAGTATACTTTTTAATAAAACACGTGTTGGTGTCACTGCTGCCAGCTTCTGACTCAACATGTTTTTCAGAATAAAGGATTTTTTCCCCCCTCCATATCTTGGAGATCTGCATGAGTTTATCATGAGCCCCTCAACAACTGTTAACTTTCATTCTGAGCAAAATAGCACCAAACAAACAAAACCGGCTTTGATAAGTATCTGCTGTACATTCATTGGATTTTCTCTTGACTTCAAACACTGCTTTTCCCACTGAATGGCTAGGCCTAATAAACACAGAATACATTTTCCTTGGTGCAGCAATATGGCTTGAACAAATAATTTGTTGTTATTGAAAAAACAAATGTTTCCCCTGATGAAATGGAAAGCTAGGACATTGTGTGCCCCCAAAGGAATTTCCTGGGACACTGGGTGTTATGTGAAAAATTGGGGCATATGGCCATTTTGCCTGCAAAGAACAAGCATGAAGTGAAGTGAAGACCTGAAACAGAGTAATAAGGAATAAATAATAGTTTACCATCATTGCCTTCCTCTCTGGGCAATATTTTGTTTTGAGACAAACTATTGACCTAGTACCTACCCATTGGCTAACACAGGGTTCCATGACAGTGACAAATTCAAATAAGAGCTGTAACTCTAATGCTGTAGCACAGCTAAGAGTCTCTGAACCAGGTAACTGAGACATGTGAACTTATTCCATACTTAATGCAGCATTTGGGTGACAGTCTGCTGCTTTCTAGGCTAATTAGCCACATCTGGGAATACAATAGTAGGAAAATAAAGCAGATGATGACATCAAAATCAAATATAGAATAAACACTTATGAGCAGCCTCACATACCTAGCACATTTCTGAGTAAAAGACATAATTATAGGGACTGTGAGGAAATTAATTTATACAAACTGAAGATCTTTTTCTACTTAAATGTATCCAAGAATCACTTGAACTTATACAGCTGGACCTCTGCTATTGACTGGGGGGGGGGTCGTAGGACTCTAGCGTGTCCTAGAGAGACAAAACAGAGACGTCTCAGCAGCACTGTCAGGGAGATGAACTAGAACAATCAAATAAACCTTTGTTATCTCTAGCTTGTAGAATACAATAACTGAAACTGAAGGATATTGAAACAAGACACGTGGGGCTGAATAATGGCTTCTGAGGCCTTGCGTGCCAGGGGTGTGTGAGAGGGATGCCAAAAAACACTTTTCTACTAAGTGCTCTCTTGCAGCACGCAGCCATAATGTGTCACTCTTTTAGAGGTAGAATGTATCTCTCTCTCCAAAACATCTGCGAATAAAACTTACATATCATACCACGCCTTCATGTCCTGTGTATGGGCCTGATCCAAAATCCACTGATGTGAATGTAAAGATTCCCCATGACTTCAATTGACTTTGGTCAGACCTTAAATGCAACATAGTATATGACAGAAAAATTCATGTATTGTGTTTGCTGCTGCAGTTTTTCCACACATTCTATCTGTAAAACCTATTGGCTTAGTTATTAGGAGCCCAATTGAGCTGGTCTTGCTGTGGTTGCCTGCTGTGTGCATTGAACAACAGTTTTCACTGAGCTGTTGACAGTAACACTCAGGGCTTTTTCCTGAGTAGTTACAGTTAATTTAGAGCCGGAGCATCTCCTTTCATGTTGAAAACCAGAGAAGCAGACTTTCTATGTGGAAATCCCCACAAGAAATTCCTCCCTGAGACTGACCTAAGTTGACCCTGAATGAGGGGAGGGGAAAAAATGCCTCAAAACCTGGAGGACCTCAAGACCAGGGCCGCCCAGAGGACTCAGGGGGCCTGGGGCAAAGCAATTTTGTGGGGCCCTTCCATAAAAAAAAAGTTGCAATACTATAGAATACTATATTCTCATGGGGGCCCTGCGGGCCTGGGGCAACTTGCCTCCCCCCCTCCCAGGTCGACCCTGCTCAAGACCCTTTGTGAGAGGCCAGTGACATCCAAGTGGAGACCCTGTACCCCTGCACAAATTCTAGCCCACTGCACCCCCCCAACTCCCTTGAGCATGCTCCCGAAGGATTTGCAATCTGCTTCCAGCAGCTCCCCATGGTAACTCACAAAAACAGTTAATGCAATCTGGGGTTGTATCAGCTTCTCTGGCTTATTTCTTAATATGTCTCCTCCAAAACTCTCCCCTCAGCCCAACCACCCCTTCCCCAGTCTGCCCCAACTCCATCCTATACACAGGACCTGGTTGTGGAGACAGTGCCACTCACAAACTCCCTTTCTGTACAGACAAATGGAGATCCACAGGTAGATCTGAGGGGGTATTTATGATCTGAAAGGGCCTTAGAACAAACACAGCAAGGTGCACAAGTAGTTCAAAGATCCCTTCCAATTTGCATAAATTTGCATTTGTCAGTGCTGAATTTCACCTGCCCTCATGCTGCTCACTCACCTAGCGTTGTTAGGTCTGGGTTTAAATTAAGCATGGAAAGTCTTTCAGAAAATGCCAAGGGGTTTTTCCTTTCCATCTCAAAGTAAACAATGATAGATTTCACAAACTCTTTGTACTACTGTATACATGGGGTTCACTCCAACTGTCCTTGTACATTTGATAATGCAGTAAATCTCTGCACTGTCCATTAGAGATTACAATGCACAGTGGCACAGTGTTCTATAGTAGCACCTAATTATCATACTTTTTACTGGGTAACAAGAAACTTTCAGTGCTTGCTGTATCATGGGAATTTACTCACTGGTAAAGTGGCATGCTTTTCTGTGGCATTCTATGCTGTTAACCAATAATTGGTTTGCATTTATGTACACATTGCCACAAGCGTTTTGGTTAATTCGGTTATCACAACACATTATTGCCACTCTCTGACATATCCCCTTTCCTTCCCAGCACACTATTGTATTGCCACTTGCTCTGCTGGAGATCTTCGCTACCCCTCACCGTTATCCACCAAAGAAGAAAGGACTGATCCTATTAGGATTTGTTTCTGTAGCCTATCTCAGCTGGTAAGAATTATGTATTATAACCCCCTTGGATTTTCTCAAATTGGCCTACGCCAGAAAAAGAGGCAAAACTCTGTATTTAGAGGATTCTATTCCCCTATGAAGAAAATGTTTAAATGGGAATAATCACATTATGGTTGGTTTTATGGAAAAGCCATTGGGGGGGACCTATTTTTTTGTTTTAAGAATCACATGATATTCCCTGAAAACAAGAGGCCAAGAGGACTGTTTCCAGCCACATGTTCAGCAGGCCTCTTCAAAAACACCAATGCACCTGAAGCCATCCAGAACATGACCTGCTACTCCAGAGCCTCTCTTGAAAGACAAGTTGTGTTGAATTGTAACAAACCATGGGGTGGCTTGGGATGTTTCCACTACAGCAGGCTTTTCATTTTGTTTTCACCCATGCTTCCCTGCTGCAACCCACTAAATCCCAAAGGAGTGTGGTATGTGTGGTTGTGTGTGTGTGTATGTATGTATGGGGGGGAGGTGTTTTTGGTGCCAAGTTGGGAAACCTCAGGTGAGTTAGAGCCAGAATTATACCACCCTCTCCCTGGCCTCTCTCCCCACCAGCACAGGGGTATGCCCAGGGAAAAGGGGGCATGGCCAGTGAGAACCCTGGCTGCTGAAACAGCTCCTTGGGACTATGGGCAGCTACCAAAATTTAGAACAGCTTTGAAGCTGCTCTAACTTAAACCTCAGTCTCGCACTGGCACTCCGTGGCTTCAGGATTTACTGCTGGTGGGGTAATAAAAATAACTTCCTGAGCTGTGCTGGATGCAGAAGGGCCGGATCCAAGCATCTGGCCTCTGGAGTGGACGATTCAGAAGAGGGTGATAGGACAAAGTGGAGAATAAGCTTGTTTCTCGAGCAGGCGAGGCATCTTTTGGAAAAAGAGGAAGCACTTGGGGAATTTTTTGTTTCTGCTAGTTCTTACCTATGGCAGTGAACACATTAGTTTGAATGAACTTGCTTTTGTCATTAAATTATTTGCCTCAATCCCACTAAAAGAAAACCCAGATTATAACGTAAACTGTACAGACAAAATGCACTTATGATTTCAGATCCCTCTATAGTGCTTGGAAATATTGAACTTTGCTACTACATTATATGATCATGTATTAGGAACAGTTTATCCTTATCTAATCTTAACCTTAATGAGATTACGATCATTGCATCCCAAATTCCTTTCCTATGTACCATTTTGCTGCATTACTTAGAGTTGAGCCATATTTTGTTCTCTTCTGAGACTCTGTGACTTTTACTGTCTTCATGATTAAACTGTGCTTCTGTGAACTTGTCCCACCTCCCTGGGACAGGAATAACACCATGAGATGCAAGCTTTTAGCATTTTCATTTCCTGCAGAGCCCTCTAGCCCACACAACTTCACCTCAACAGCAGCCACCCTTACCACAATGACCTAAATAAACCAGAGAAGAAATCACTTTTTTGTTTTGTAACAACAAAAGAATCTGACATGGAGCTGCCAGGTTTCAGCTAGAGGCAGCACAGAGATCTATCACCCAAACCCAATTGTTTTAAGCCAGTACTATCCAGACTTCTTGGTGGGGGTATGCTTTGATCACAAAAACATCAACTTGCCAAACCCCACAGCAAGTATCGTCTGATGTGAGAACATGGCTCTAAACCCATGTATGCTCCAGTAAGTGGAAGTCACGGTCTCAGATGTTGCACACTGAAAAGAAGGAGAGTGCTTTTCCACTCTGGGAGTGCCCACTGAAGGAAGACTCAGTATCCTAGATAATCAGCAATCACAACCAGGCCAACCATGGCCAAACCGAGTTCTAGTCACATCCTGCACTAGCGGTTTCTCCCAAAGTCTCCTTTGAGCTGATGCTGTCTTCAGCTTCTAATACATCACAGTCAGCGCTTCATTTGTAATGAAAGAGGTACCAGGACTCAAGCAATTTTTTTTTTTTACTTTCATAACTGACGCAACAAGCCCAGAGGTGCTGGGGCTATGAAGTGCCAACTCTAGAGGTGCCAGGGCTCAGCCCTGGCAAGCCCTGGCACAAAGTAAGCACAGATCACAGTACTTGGTATCCTGGCTATTGGGCCCCCAAGCAGATGGCTATCTGTTACTTGTCCCTTGTGTCATCTTCTGTAGGGTCCTGCCCGTTGTATTCCAGTTTCCTGCTGTTGCATGCACATTCATGCCAATCTCCATACTGGTGCTTTCTGTCTCCTGGAAATAGCACAGAACCTTTCATTTTACTCTCTTCACCTTGGTTCCCAGCAACAAAATGAGCTGAATGATCAGCTGGAGTTAGGTTCCTAAAATCCATTGAAATCAATGGAAATTAGGGGTCTAAACAGAAGTTAGGAGCTTAATTCCTTTTGAGCATTCAGCCCCAAAGTCTTTATACTAAAACATCACTTTACATTTTAAATCTCTGCATCCAGCCTATAGGTGCCAACACTTCGCTGTTGCTGCCTTCACTGATGTGGCAGAACCATCAATAGTCCAATCATGTGGCCATAAGTAGCATCTTTACTACTCCCCTTTCCTCCATATTTATGGATTCAGGTGGCCCATTTGCCATGTGAGGTGCTGGATTAGCAAGGGAAGAGTCAAGCAGGGCAGCCAGAATGGCTTCCCACTGCATGTGCCTTTCTTCAAGGTCCTGCTTCCACATGGGGTTTTATTACAGAAATTTATTTTTGCTGTACTCAAAAGTGGGGGGTGGTTTCCAACCATGGGAGGCTGCCAGGTCTGGTGAGAAACCTGGCAGACATGTTAGTGAATTCCTGTAGTGACAGATTTTGATACTCCTTCTCATGCTGAGTAAGACGTTACTCTACAAGTAGTCCTCCTGAAATCAATTAAAAGTCTCAAAAACCTGGCCTGTAATCTTCTTCCCTGTCTCGGAATGCCAAAGCTTGTATCTCTGAACTCTTATGTTATCCAATTTTAGACCTTAAAAACAGCCTGCCCTTTTCCATTTCAATTCTAAAATCAATGTAACAGCAAAGAGGACAGTAATATAGGCACCAATCATCAGAAATGTACCTTGGGCCATAAAGCGGAGGAGATCATACCACCTTTCTAAGCTCAGGAAATATAAATAATCATATAGTGCATACTGCATCTTAAGCCATAACTAAATAAAATAAGTAAATAAATGGAGGGGCTCTACTCCATCACTTTCCAGTAATGCGTCCACTCCATCTTGATGATGAATTAAAACATTTCAATTATATTATGTGCCAGATACCTGTGCTCATCTTCAGTTCATGGCCTTCTCATTTTGAAATAACACGATCTCAATTACCTAATTTGCACCAATATGTTCTTTGCCTTTCCTGATCTTATACATCTCCTTGAATACCACCTCAGGGACTAGTTTTCTTCCTTCAATGAGAGTATAGGTCCTATTAAGATTAGGGGAAATTAGGCACATGTAATGAGAGGACAGGAGAAACTCTAAGTCTTCTTCCTTTTATTTATTATGATACATCAAGTCTTACTGATTTATACATGCTGCCCCCAAATCCTATAGTGTTTTGGTACACTTGCTACCCCTGTGCCATCAGCTAAGTTGTACCCTTCCTATAATTGCTCAGAAATGCAAACATTACTTCAAGATTACCCTGAATTCTTTGTTGTCACTTCCTACTCTATTCTATTTCTTATCACAAAACTACTTTTTATTCCATTTCTAAATTGATACCTAAATTTTCAAAATAATAGGCATCTGACTGTTGTATGGGAGTTGAACTGATAATCACACATACAAAATGTGCAATTGTACAATGGGTGCAAAGTTTGATAGTGCATTTTTAGATGTCTGCTAAAAATTTGGTTCTCTCCGTCCATTGTTTCTGTTCACAGTAGCCCAAATTTTCAAACTTAGCTACCTAAAGACAGGCAACCAAATACGTATTTATGCACCAGAACAGACTGCCAGATTACTCACAACTTCCATCAACTCAAGTGAGAGATGATGGTGCTTGGTGTCTCTGAAAATCAGGCCACTTATTTAAGTTCATAAAAAAATCGATTTAGGTGCCTGTCCAAAGGCACCCAAGTTTGAAAAATTTGATCTGCACAATCTAATCTCCTACTACCTAAGACTAGGATCACTGCCTTTGTAATTGGCTGAGATATGTGTATCATATTGAAAAAAATACATATAGGCTCTACATAATAATAAAAAAGCCAACTCCATTGTTTTTCCCACTGAGACTTCAATTAGTGTCTTGTAGCTAATATTTCCTGTTATTGTTATTGAGGCCTTTTTATAGGCTTTTTTATTTCCTCAGTCATTTCACACCACAGTTGTTTCCTCTGATCAGAGGACCTATGATGGATCTATAAAACTAGTTTCTACTCTTAATGTTTCCAAGCTCAGCCCAATAAAACTCTATTACCAGCAACACCAGTTTCTCCCATCAACCTTCTTACTGAGGGCTAACAAATCTTTCTTCACACACCTCTTCTTTTATGTCCCACCAGAGCCTTCTCTAATTACTGTTGAACTGTTTTCCTGCTTTAAGGACACTTCAGCTGTTTTCTCTAGCATTTACCTGTTTCTCAGGTTTGCGACATATCTTAATTCTGGTGGGGTGTCTATGTGACACACATATCCTGAGACATGACTCACACAGCCAACTGGCAGGCTAGTGTTTTCTCACAGAGTGACACTCTCTCCCATGAAAACACTGGCAGTGCGGGGGGTGGTGGTGGTGGTGGTGAGGTGGGAAATCACCAGAATATCTCCCTACTGGCAGTGCTGGGAAAAGTCTAACGGGCAGCTTTACGGAGACAACAGAGATGGCTTAGCTTCCCAATAGAATTATAACAGATCCATGGCCACAAAAATGAATACCATTCTTGCCAGTTAAATCCTATTGGACGTGGGGCTTGTTCACCTGTCACTAAATTAAAGTGCACTAGAGAACCTTTTGTGCACACCAGCAGCGTTTACATGGACCAATTAACTTGCTACACGGTAGTCTGCAAGTTACCCATGGGGCATGTTACCCTACCACTTAGACAAGCTCTTGGGGATAGAACTCAGGACTTTGTGATCCAAATGCATGAGTTTCTTCCACTGTCAGAATATATTACAAGGGTGAGTGCCCCCACTACCACAAAGGAGCTAAATGTAGCTTCAGCCCATCTTTCTGGCCTTATATAATGCAAATCTCCTAATTTTATGTTACCTGTCTTTTCAGTGAACTACCTTTGAGATTGTAATCCAATTCAAATGAGTGAGGTGCCATTTGAATTACACTTATCCACAGATGTGTTGTAGTATAAAAAGAAGTTCAAAAGTTTATCAATCAAGAAATTAACTTTTAAGGCTCTTTTGACCAATAAGAGTCACAGTATGCAAATAGCTCAAGTTAACTGGTAGCCACAGCAAGCTGTAGATTGGGTTTGAGGGGAGAGAAAGCAGGACAGAATGAAGGGAATGAAGCCCTACAAACAGCCCAGGAAGGGGAAGGGGTGGACAATGCCACCACATTCTCTATCTACCTACCTACAGTTGCTCTTCCTTCCCCTTCTCTGTGGGACAAAGGGAATCTGCCTCATCCAGCCACTCCCCGATGGACTGGTCACTGCTGAAGGGACAGAAAGATGAGCAATAGCATTTTCCTCTCCCCAGATGTCTCTGATCTAGGTGGGTGCTGAAAAGCCAGGGCAACCAGTTGGAAAAAGATGTGTCTAAAAGTTCATTTGCTGTTATACAATATAGTTAAGTACATTATAGTTAAATATCCATATTTCTCAACTGAGGAGACTTACTTCAGTTACCTAAATACCATTATACTCACTGAAGTTGGGTCACCATAAAACCAGGCTGGTCATGGTAGAACACTGCATGTGTTCTAATCCGTGTTGAATGACGTGTGTGCTTCACAGAAAAGAGTCCAGCTTTCTAACTGCCCAGTGGAGATGTTGCATATCAGTAGTTTAATGTAAGTTGATCTATTTATTCTTTACCATGATAGTTGTGATAACATATTCCTTCCTGGATGGGAAATCTTTAAATTCTTCTTCTAACTGAATGGTCCTAACCAAAAATCATCTCTCTCCTTGTCTAGGGTCCTGTGGATTTACTCTGTAACCGGAGAGTGGGTATATCCTCTCTTCACCTTTTTCAGCCCAGTGGGTCTAGCGGCCTTTTTCTGCAGTAGCACTGTCCTCATTGTCTGGATCTACAACATTGGAGAGTTTCTCAACCGTATGATTTGGGGTCAGTTCACTTTTTGTTTTTCACATGTAGTCAAATGAAAAATTGAAATGTGCTTTGAGAGTGGCCGCTGACCAAATAATGGAGCGGTGCTTTGTGTGCCTGTCTAAAGGGGAGTCAGGCACAAAGCAAGTGCTGGGTCTCCAATAAAGCTTCCCAGTTTTTTTAAGTAATAACCATCCCCCCTCCCCCCAAAAATGGGTGATACATCAATTTTCCCTAATGTAACTGGAGAAGGGCCTTTTGCCAGCACAATAATTGGAATCTGATTCCTTCTCACACCATGATGCACAGAATCAAAATTCCCCTGGCCTAAACTTTTTGTACCCATGTGTAGAATTTATTGAACTATGGACTGCTGCTCTTTAGGGAGGATTTACAGATGAAAGAAAACTGACATTGATGGACCTGAGTGCAAGTATCAGAGCTTCTGTCAAGGGAAAATGATAAATGGCATGTTTGTGGTCTTTAACCAACCATTCAATATCTCCTTTCTGCTTCTGCAGCCACGAGTTGGTGGCATGAGCCAAGATATTTATTTAAAAAAATAACATCCCCTTTAAAAACCCACCTAACAGACAAAATATTATTTTAGGTAGTTACGTTATACAGTGAGGGGGAAAAAAAAGCCGTTTTTTTTTCCCCTCTGGTTTTGCATCTCCTTCCCCCACTCCCCAAAAATAGTTTCTGAGGTGAAAAGGTTTTTTTTTGGGGGGGGGGGGGAAGTGTAGATATTTTACTCAGGACAAATGTGTGAAAACTTGTGATTTCTTTCAAGGTGGAATTTTGCAAGTTTTGAGAGGGAGGGGGGGATCTTTTCACTGGAAATATTTTATCCTTGACCAAATTTGTGAAGACTCATGAAAATCTCAGGCCAAAAGTTTTAAACCAGAATGCCTAAAATTAGGCTCTCAACATCCACCTACATAGAAATGGACTGAATCTGACAGGTGCTGAGTAACTCTGGATCCCAGTGAGGAGCTGCAGGTGCTCCAAACCTTTGCAAATAGGATGATTGCTATAGGCACCCAGGTTTGAAAACTTGACCGTAGCCTTTTCTTGCTTAAAGTCTCCCCAAGTGAGGACTGGTGCAGGTAGCCATAGAGAGGCCGAGACACAAAAAAGATGAAGGGCCAGTTCCTGCATTCATACACAACTGTACATTTCCATTGATTTAAGAGGGACTGCAGAGTTGTAACTGAGCAGAGAATTTGGCCCCAAATCTGTGATCAAAGGCCAGAGTATCTCTGCTATAAGGAATAAAAATTGTTCTGAATTGTATGGCAAACACTGCAAGGTACAGTAGCTAGAGATCTGTTTGTAAACAAGCATGCCTCTGTTCCTCGGAAAGACATACAAACAGTGAACTGTGCCACCCTGTACTACTGATTACCAGGTCTCTCCAGGGATTCTCTTCTGGAGTAGCATGCAGAACAGTTGCTCCTGCTTTCACTCTCTCTCAAAGACAGCCTTTTGCTTCATTTATCTATTGTGATTGTTTGCTGTTCAGAGAAACAAGTGCAAGACAGGTTTATTTTTCATGTCATATGGATAAGTTTCACTACTTCATGGATGTTTCTCCATTATTTCCTAACCAAACAGTCAGTTACAACAACTGGAGATTATCAATATAAGCAGCACAAGTGGAATACAAATGATTTGATGCCCAAGATAACTGACAGAAGAAAAAGGAACATACCAGTCATCAAATTAAATTCAAATAAGCGTGTTTGGAACTGATGACTAAATACAATCAGCTAAAAAGGAGAAATTAATTTCACTAAGATCTGTTGGTCGGAGATAAACCCAGTCCAGAACACCAGGTCCAACCCCTCACTATACCCAGAACTTTGGACAAGTTCAGTCTATGCATATTTTGAAGGTGCTGGTGGGTGTCTCAGAGAGCATATATAAATGTACTTTACACACACAGCATGATCCTCAGCTGATGTAAACTAATGAAGAACTATTAAAGTGACCAGAACTCCACTGAATTACACCAGCTGAGGATCTGACCCACACTGTATAGTTTATATTACTCAAAGCAGACATAAAATCATGGCCTCTTGTGATAATTTATGAGCCTATGGCATTTTTCACACAAGTACAGGGCGTTAGTCCTGGGTTAATATTCCTACTGTTTGTTAAATTACATTCTCCCCAGCTCTTGTGATTTTAAATGCATGTTCACTTCTTCACATCCAAAGCCTACAATACTGTCTAGCCTTGCCATGCACTGTTAAATGGTTGTTGGTTCCACCCTATAGGTGGCTACATGATAGTGGCAGAGGGAAGCTATTCTTGTAGTAGAATAGAATATGCAAGAGCAAAATCTTCCTCCATCCTTGCTCATTTTGTTCTGGGATAAAAATCCCACTGACGTCTGAGGGAATTTTGCTCATGTAAAAAGACTGCTGGATTTGGCCCCAGATTAGTTTGCTGAGCTTTCACAGTGTTTTAGGATCCTCCTAGGAAAAAGGTGCTGTATAAATGCCCAACTCATTCTCATTGCAGAGTAAACCTAATGGTTTTAAATGAAGTTTTCAATGTCTGTGGACTAATGTTGTGGTGATTGCATACTTCTAGAGCCAACCTGTGGCTCCAGAGCCGCATGCGGCTCTTCAGAAGTTAATGTGTGACTCCTTGTATAGGCACTAATTCCGGGGCTGGAGTTACCAGGCACCAACTTTCCAATGTGCTTGGGGGGGGGGGAGTGGTGTGCTCACTGCTCAACCCCAGCCTCTGCCACAGGCCCTGCCCCTACTTCACCCCTTCTCCCAAGGCCCCTGCTCCTTCCTGTTCCCTTCCCTGAGCCTGCCATGCCCTCGCTCCTCCCCATCTCCCCAGAGCCTCCTGCATGCCGCAGGAGGCATGGGGAAGGAGGGGGAGGCGCAGATCAGCAGGGCTGCTGGCAGGTAGCTGATGGTGGGGGGGGGGCTGCTGAGGTATTACTGTGGCTCATTGGCAACGTACATAGGTAAATTCTGGCTCCTTCTCAGGTGCACGTTGGCTGCCCCTGCTCTAGAGACTTAGGGTCAGACTGCAAAGGGGACTGGGAAGGGTGGAGAGAATGCAAAGCCATGGTGCCATCCTTCTCTGGGCTGGCCAACAGAAATGGTGTGCCACAAAGAAGAGTGAATGCTGCACAGAACTTAAGGGTGAAGTGGTAGGTCTGTCTGAGGTGCCATGCCTCTCTGCAACTCCCATTAGGGTGCTGTTTTGTTCTGCTCCCTCGGCAAGACAGTGACTTTATGCCACCATTTAACCTTTACTGTTATGGAAAAATATAATGGTATGCCTAGAATCCTATTGGCAAATATAGAAATAACTTTTCATTATAATTATTGTGCCCTTCGGTCACTTATGCCTGTCACTACTGAAATTCACCATGCTTCTCCCAAGCTCCTTACTGACTGTAGTTAGCATCTGGAGGGAACTCTGTAGGACTGGGCAGTGTTTTGCCCAATGCCTTGGACTGAGGGCTCCAGGGCAGGTACTTTTTCCACCCTCTTGCTTCTCACCAGCAATTAGAAATTTGTTTCCTTGGCACTATGGTAATTGAAATAAGGCAAAGCTGATTAGAAGATCAAGAAAACCAAAGTAATTCAAAGATAAGCAGAATAAAATACATTAGGTCAAAGACTATACCCACCCTTTAAGCCTTGCAGGTACTACTGAGTGAAAACAGAATACTATATATGCTTAGATCCTTAGAGATTTGTGTCTGTCCTGCAGGCTGCCAGGGTCTCTCAGTTCGCATGTCGTCTCCCCAGAGTCCAGTCTCTCTTTCCCTCTCCCTTTTTAACAACCATATCCAGCCTTGGTGCCAATGACAACGGGTTTCTGTCCCTTCCCAATCAGGTTACCCTTCTCCCTCTTGGTTTGCTTCTTCCTTACTATCCCCCTCCATCACTGGCCATTAAACCTCATCTCTTTGTTTTACCTCTCTTCTTTGAAATAGACCTTCTCAGCCATTATCTTAACAACTACCGGTTACACTGGGCTCATCTTTTGTTCCTATCAGTAGCTCAGTATGTCAGTAATAACTCATCTGTGCAGAGACTGAGCTCAGCTGTTCATCTAGCCAACATAAATATAAAATGTTTAGTTATAAGACTACTTAAAATTGCTTATAATTAATTTCTCAATCAAATATAGTTTATCTTGGATACTTATCTAATCCATTGAAACTATGTACACACATATACCACATATGTGGGCATGATTACACCTGGTTAGAAAATGACATTTTCTATGTGGACATTTTTGATTTTTTGTTGATTAACCAAAAACGTTTCATTCTATGATGGATTCAGTTTAAAAAAAAACCCACCTCCACCTTCCTTGAGAATTTTCGTTTTGTGAAAAAGCCAGTTTTCTGTCCAAAAACATTGCAATGTAAAATTTTGATGATTCCTAGTCCTGATGCCTACAGCATGTGATGAACTGCATCTATTACAGACCTTTAATAGTCTCACCTGTACTCTGCCCACTTATCCATCTATCCCAGAACTACCCACAGTTCTAACCGGTGAGCAGCTTTAAGCAACCACAACTTTTCTTAAAATTAAAAGTACTGGCCACAATTTTTTTTTCCTCTTTCCTCACACAACATGCATGTTTCCCCCGAAATTATTCCAAAGTCCAGGACTGACAATGTTCAGCCCTGAACACATGATATTTTTAAGGTTCAATATCTTGTGCGTCACAGCAGAGAAACGGGCACTGTACCATTTTTGAGCCTGCATTCTGAACTCTTTCTGATAATATAATATGCTTTTCTACATCTGGACAGCCAAGAGTTAGCAGACCTTTAATTCGTTTTATTTTTTCCAGACAAACTCTTTTATGTAGCATTTGAGGTATTAAAAATATGTTATTTTCCATTTTGCTTTGGCTTGGACTCAAGGTAGCCACTGCAATCCAAATGTACAGACAGAGAGATACAAAAAATAGTACTAATAATTTTTTTTTAAAATACTAAAAGTTTCTAATATTGTTGG